CTGAGGGGCTGCAGAGCTCCAGTAATTTGTGATACATGCTTTCCCACTCTCTACCCTTCTTCACCCACACTCAGCCCCCTCTGCTTCCCACAGACACAGTCTCTTGGCCAGAAACACCAGCCCGCACTAGCTGGCTCTCTGAGTGCCATTTGTTGGCTGCTAAGGTTGCTTTTTTTTTCTGCTTCTTTTGATTTCTTACTTGCCTCTTGCCACCTTCCGCTCCTTTAGCTCGAGTACCTGGCTCCATGCGCTATCTTTGCTTCTTCCTGAGGAGCTGCGCAGCTCCATTCGAGTGTGGAGCTGCTTCCAGGTCTGGGCTACCAGGCTGGTGGGATCCCGGGGCTTTTGTTCATTTGTTTGTTTTGAATTGTTTGTTAGTTTCCTTTTCCTTTTCTTGAGTTGGGAGCTCTTTCTGGCCAGGCGGAGCTGTGTGGCAAGGAGACTCACCTTTGGCTTCCACAGACGTGCAGAGGGATCCTTGAGGAAATTTCTTTTCTCATTGTTTTTTTTTTCTTCTGTTTTTATTGGGCCCTTTCTTGTCCTTTTTTTTTTAAAATTTGTTTTGTTTTCTTTTCCCTCTTTTACCCTTTTTGTCTTTTTTCATTTCAGTTTCTCATCTCTCTGTATCTTCCTTCTCTTTATGTTCCCTGAATACCTGGCATTATATACCTCTACACCTTCTAGCCAGCCTGTACTGAAACACCTGAGAGCAAATTCCCCAGACCTCATAGCTACACCGGTGGGATCCCTGGGCACTTTGCTGTTATTTAACCTTTCTGATTTTTATTTATTCATTCTTTTCTTTTCTTCCTCTTCCCCTTTCTGTTTTTCTCCATTTCATAGTCTCTCATCCCTCCACTCCAATGGCAAGCTCCCCTAGCATTTTTGTTTGTTTGTTTGTATGCTTTTGGCTCCTGTTCCTCTCTCCTCTCCCCATATCCAGCTTAGCTCCACACATAACAATCTCCCCACTGCATCCTGCCTACCTGCACCACGTGCTTGACATCACATCACCAAGCAGCACAGGCACAGCCAACTGGAACCTGCCCTGCACTATTAC